GCACGCGATCATGTACACACAGCGCACATCCGCACTGCAAAGGCTCATGTCCACAGACATGCTTGCACGCACCAGCAACCAACCCCCCCCCACCCCACACACACATAATACAGATACACACCCCCCCACCCACACACACACATAATACAGATACATATCCACAATCCTACACACACACACATATAATACAGATACACACACACGAATGCCATGTGAAGATGCATCGCTCATGTCTGCTGTATGCATTGCGCTTCGGTGATAGAAGGGATTGGGTTGTCCACAACACAGGATATGGGCACGCTCGCACAGACAACCACTGTCGCAGACACGATGCAGCCCACCACTGCAGACACCAGCAACACCACCAGCAGCGATACAACCACGCCAGAACCGACAACGGACACTGCGGAGATGACCACGGGGGAGCTGACGACGACAGATGACGTGGGCGATCCCGCAACATCAACAGCGCCCATGACAACCATAAACGCAGTGTCGTCGTCAACCAGTACCACCGCACCAATTGAGACAACGACTGGCACCGACCTGACCACCACCGACACCCTCGAGGAAACCACCGCTGACACATCCACATCAACAAGTACATCGACAAGCACATCCACAAGCACATCCACCTCCACCTCCAGCAGCAGCAGCACGTCGGCGATTGACACGACCAGTGCTGACCTGACGACAACGGAGGGGCTTGAGGAAACGACCACAGACACATCCACTTCATCAAGCACGTCCACATCCACATCCACAAGTACCTCCACATCCACATCCACCTCCACCTCCACCTCCACCTCCACCTCCAGCAGCAGCAGCAGCAGCACGTCGGCGATTGACACGACCAGTGCTGACCTGACGACAACGGAGGGGCTTGAGGACACGACCACAGACACCTCAACATCCACGTCCACATCCACATCCACAAGTACGTCCACATCCACTTCATCAAGCACGTCCACATCCACATCCACAAGTACCTCCACATCCACGTCAACCTCGACATCCACATCCTCGTCCACCTCCACCTCCACCTCCAGCAGCAGCAGCAGCAGCACGTCGGCGATTGACACGACCACTGCTGACCTGACGACAACGGAGGGGCTTGAGGAAACGACCACAGACACATCCACTTCATCAAGCACATCCACGTCCACATCCACAAGTACCTCCACATCCTCGTCACCTCCACTCCACCTCCACCTCCAAGGGCATGACTACCTCTGACTCCTAACAATTGACACGACCAGTGCTGACCTGACGACAACGGAGGGGCTTGAGGACACGACCACAGACACCTCAACATCCACGTCCACATCCACATCCACAAGTACGTCCACATCCACTTCATCAAGCACGTCCACATCCACATCCACAAGTACCTCCACATCCACGTCAACCTCGACATCCACATCCTCGTCCACCTCCACCTCCACCTCCAGCAGCAGCAGCAGCAGCACGTCGGCGATTGACACGACCACTGCTGACCTGACGACAACGGAGGGGCTTGAGGAAACGACCACAGACACATCCACTTCATCAAGCACATCCACGTCCACATCCACAAGTACCTCCACATCCTCGTCCACCTCCACCTCCACCTCCACCTCCAGCAGTAGCAGCAGCACGTCGGCGATTGACACGACCACTGCTGACTTGACAACAACGGAGGAGCTTGAGGAAACGACCACAGACACCTCAACATCCACGTCCACATCCACGAGTACGTCCACATCCTCGTTCTCATCCAGTTCTGTCAAGACAACAGCTGACCTGACGACAACGAATGACCTTGAAACAACGACCCAGGAGCTTCTGGAAACAACAACAGACACGAGCACAAGCACAAGCACAAGTTCGAGCACGTCAACCTCGACATCCACCAGCACGAGCAGCAGCTCCACGAGTGGTGTCACAACAGATGACCTCACGACCACCGAGGCCCTGGAAGAGACGACCACAGACACGTCCACATCCACGTCAACATCGAGCTCAACATCAACATCGAGCTCAACGTCTTCATCGACGTCCACATCCACATCGACGAGCAGCAGTGTTGAGACAACAGCTGCGCTGCCGACCACGGGTGACGTTGAGACAACAGCTCAGGACCTGCAGGAGACAACAACAGACACGAGCACAAGCACGTCAACGTCCAGCTCAACGTCCTCGTCCAGCTCCACATCCTCGTCTTCATCAACTTCGACGTTGACATCTACGTCAAGCACTACAGATGTGCTGCCGACAACCCCGCTTGCTGTGACGACAGAGGGGATGCCAGAAACGACGACAGACACGAGCACAAGCACCTCAACCTCAACCTCAACCTCAACCTCAACCTCAACCTCAACCTCAACCTCAACCTCAACCTCAACCTCGTCGTCCTCCTCCACGTCGTCATCATCGTCCACCAGCACGAGCACCACCACCACCAGCACAATCGACTTGCCCACAACCCTGCTGCTTGTTGAAACGACAGACCGTCTCCCGGACACCACCACTGACACGAGCACCAGCACTAGCACGTCCATCTCGTCATCCACCTCCACGTCAACATCATCCTCATCCTCCACATCGACGTCAACTTCAACGTCTTCCTCTTCCTCGTCATCCAGCTCTTCTGCAGTGTTGCCTGACACGACATTTGCCATCCCAACGACAGACGTTGGCCTTGAGCCAACGACCCAGGACACTGTCACATCCACATCTACCTCTACATCCACATCTACCTCCACATCCACATCTACCTCCACATCCACATCCACCTTCACATCGACGTCAAGTTCCTCGAGCTCATCCACAACAAACTCGCAAGTCGCTGTGCCCGAGTCCACGTTTGTTGTTCCGACGACCGATATCGGTGGTGAACTGACAACCCAAGACGTCACCTCGACCTCCACATCGTCGTCCACCTCCACATCGTCGTCGACCTCCACGTCTTCAACAGCATCGACAACCACCACGACCATGCCTGCGGTCGACACCACCTTCCAGGACTTTGATGCCACCACGCACGCTGATTTGCCAACCACAGATGCGCTGCCTGGTGCTGCCGAGCGCGGTGCTCAAGCAACGTTGGAGGAGGACTGGCTGTCCACGCCAGACTGGACAACGACGGCTGAAGGAACAAAGGCACCAAGCGCGGTGGCGACAACGATGGCTGGTGATGACACGACAGTAGGCGAGCAGGTCACGGTGGACAGTTTGGGCAGCACGGTCGACGCCCTGCCCACAACCGCTGATCATGTGGCTGATGCCACAGCCACAGCTACAGCCGGCACGACGACAACCACAACGACAGGGCTGCCTGACACCACAGCGTGGGAGGAAACATCTGCGGATGTTGACGTGGTGACCACAGATGTGCCTGCCACTGCCAATCCCAGAGCAGGGGCAACAACCGAACCGAGCACACCGGCCACAGCGGCTGCTGCACCGACATCGCAGGACTGGGAAGCAACGACTGCCGATGACGCTGTCGCCAGCACTGCAGATGTTGTGTCATCTTCTTCCGATCTTACAACAACTACAGCCACCACCACCACGACAACAACAACAACAGCGGACGTCCAGATTACGAGTGACGCGGGTGCTGCGACAACAGAAGATGATGAGCAGCTGCTGACCACCGCCGATGGCGTGCTATCGTCACCGGCAGCCCCACCAACAGCGGGTGCAACGGCGCGTGTGGCAACAACAACCCAGGATGACGAACTGGTGAGCACAGGTGCGTCTGAGACGACGGACGATGCTGGCGGTGCGGCAAGCACGATTGACCTGAATGACGCGCGCACGGTGTCAACGCTCAGACCAGCGGGTGCAGAGCCGCTCGCCACCACCACAACCGCGACAACCACGGCTCAGCCCGTGACGTCGACGATGATGGAGACATCAACGGCACTCCCAGACACCACCACCGGCGAGGATGCTGCGGCATCGACTGTTGATGAGACGACAACAGACACACTGGAAGACACAACGAGCGAAGCAGCATCCACAACCGCCCATGCCGAAGACACAACGGCTGACGTCACAACATCTGCACAGGACGCTCCGCTCACAACCACCGACGCTGGCACAGCAACCACACTGCCAACAACAGCGACTGCTGAGGCGACTACCGCAGACGAAACCACAACAAATGGCGCCATTGAAACAACGACAGCGGAAGCTGTGGCGACAACGACAGACGGCCTACCCGCGAGCACAGCAGGTGCATCCACCACAACCGTGGCAACGACAGAAACAGCAACAACAGCTGCTGCTGTTGACACGACAACCGATGACGACATGACAACACGCGATGCCATCGACACCACGGCGGACGATTTTACAACCACCGCCGCCGCCGCCACCACCACTGCTACGACGGCTACTTCCACCACGACGCCTGTTGTTGAGACGACGACGTTGGATGATGTCGCCACAACCACCAGCGACTGGGACACGACGGTGGACGCTGAAGGGTCTCTGTCGTTCTCGGCAGCGACAACCACGACCCAGGCACCCAGCGTTCCCACAACGCACGATGATCCCACAACGCACGATGATCCCACAACGCGTGCCGAAGCCGAAACAACAACGGATGACTTGGTCACGACGACGACGTTGACAACCAGTACCACCATCCCCACCACGGCTGTGGATGGCACGACACGCGATGATGCCACAACCTGGGATGAGGGCGCCACGACAACAGATGGTTCTGTCGACACCTCAGCTCCATCAACTGCAACAGCTATTCCTGCCACGACGCGTGCTGAGCAAACGACGCATGATGAAGCTGCTCTCACCACCACTGACGATGTCCAGCCTACGACTGATGATGGTTTGACTACCACCACCACCACCACCACGATGACGACAACGACATCAAGCACCGCATCAACCACCACATCAACAACAGCAGCGGATGCGACAATTGAGGTGGCAACGACACTCGATGAGCAAACCACGCGCGAGGCGGTGGAGACGACGGATGCTGTTACGACCACCACGACCACGATAACGACAACTGTGGCTGACACCACCCGTGCAGAAGAAGAAGTGACAACCCATGATGGTGGCGACCCTGACGCGGAGACAACAGCGGATGCGAACGTCGCGACGGAGGAATCATCCACAGCAGTGCCACCAACAACCACTGTTGAGGAAACAGCCACAACTGATGGTGCAGATGTGGTTGACACGACCATCGACATGGATGTGCCCACGACAGCGACCGAGCCTGTCACTGGCAGTGCTCGCAAGCGGGCAACGACAACCACCGTTCCAGCCGCGTTCACCACAGATGGGTCGTTGATGACGACAGCGGAGCCAATGGACACAACAACGGATGACATGACCTCCACGTCCACGACCACAACCACGTCCACACCCGTGCCAACCACAGAAGAGCAGCTCCCGTCCACCGACAACGCTGATGATTTGCTGTTCACAAGCACAGACCAAGGTGTCACATCCACATCCACGTCCACGTCCACGTCCACACCCGTGCCCACTACGGAGGAACAGCTCCCGTCCACCGACAACGCTGATGATTTGCTGTTCACAAGCACAGACCAAGGTGTCACATCCACATCCACGTCCACGTCCACGTCCACACCCGTGCCCACTACGGAGGAACAGCTCCCGTCCACCGACAACGCTGAAGACTTGCTGTTCACAAGCACGGACCAAGGTGTTACCTCCACGTCCACGTCCACGTCCACGTCCACACCCGTGCCAACCACAGAAGAGCAGCTCCCGTCCACCGACAACTCAGATGAGCTGCTCACAAGCACGGATATGGGTATGGACACGACACCAGCGACAACGACGACAACGACCACCACCACCACCACCACCACCACTACGGCAGCAACGACTGAGGATGTTGCTCCAACGAGCGATGACTCTGCGTCGTTCATGAGCACGGCCGACAATGCGGAGGTGCTGTCAACAACAAACGATGTGACGTCCACATCAAGTAGCACGTCAAGTTCGACCTCGTCCACGCCAACGACCATCGTGCCGACAACACAGCCCTTGGTCGCGTCCACAGAAGATGCTGCTGCGTTTGCCTCCACAACAGACGACACGGCAACAACAAGCACGTCAACTGCACCGCAAGTTCCGACCACAGAGGCTCTGGTGGCATCGACAGATGATGCAGGTGGTCTGCTTCCGACAACGCAGGATGTCACGTCCACCGGCACATCGACATCCACTTCGACGTCAACGTCAACGTCAACGTCAACATCCTCCTCCTCGTCATCGTCGTCGTCGCAAGTTCCCACAACAGACGCAGTGGTGCCGTCCACGGATGAACAGCTGCTGATGAGCACGAGCGATGATGCTGCGGTGCTGTCAACCACCAACGATGACGTGACATCCACATCCACCAGCACCTCCACATCATCATCATCATCCTCCTCCTCCTCGTCGTCCTCGAGTGCGTCCTCGACGGTGCTGCCCACTACCCAGCCGGAAATGGCTTCCACAGATGACAGCGAGCTGCTGTCCACAACGGAAGATCTGACGACTACCACGACGACCACGACAACAACAACGACAACGACGTCAACGCAGATGCCGACTACGCAACCTGCGTTTGCCTCCACGGATGACATGGAGCTGCTGGCCACAACCACGGACAGTATCACATCCACGTCAACATCCACATCAACATCCACCTCAACGTCGTCATCGTCATCGTCATCCACTGTGCTTCCAACCACGCAGCCGTTACTCGCATCCACAGACAACGGCGAGCTGTTGGCAACGACCACAGACGAAGTGACATCGACATCCACCAGTCCATCGTCATCGTCATCGTCATCGTCATCCACATCAACATCGTTTGCACCGCGCACCACGGAAGGTCTCTTGGCATCGACTGATGGCGGCGAGCTGCTTGCAACCACCACTGATGAGATGACTTCCACGCCTACTTCCACGTCCATTTCGACGTCGACGTCATCCTCGACATCCTCCACCACCACAATATTGCCGACGACACAGCCCATGTTCGCCTCTACAGATGAGGAGCAGCTGCTGGCGACAACGACGGACGAGGTTACATCCACGTCGACGTCAACTTCAACAAGCACGTCGTCGTCCTCCTCTTCCTCCTCTTCTTCCACTGTGTTGCCAACCACACAACCGTTCATTGCCTCGACGGATGAGGCAGGAATGCTGTCAACAACCAATGACCAGGAGATGTCGTCCGCTTCAACCAGCACTACCACCACGTCGTCATCGTCATCCCCCGTGCCGCCAACGACAGAGCAAGTGTTTGCGTCAACAGACGAAGGTGTGCTCCTGTCCACCACAACCGACGTGACGTCGACAAGCACGACCACAACCACGACATCCACGTCATCTGTGGCGCCTCCAACCACAGAGCTCTTCGTTGCATCCACAGACGATGGCGGGCTGTTGGCGACGACAACAGATGAAGTGACGTCCACAACGCCGAGCATGTCTTCGTCATCGTCGTCGTCAGTCGCACCACCCACTACGGACGCCCTGTTTGCATCCACAGACGACGGTGGCCTGCTGGCGACAACGACAGATGAGGCGGCCTCGAGCTCTACCACAACGTCCACATCAACAAGCTCGTCCACGTCCACATCCACATTGTCCTCAACATCGTCTTCGTCGTCTTCGTCGTCAGTTGTGTTGCCGACGACACAGCCTGTGTTTGCCTCCACGGACGATGGGCAGTTGCTGGCCACGACGGCCGATATCGGAACGTCATCAACAAGCACGTCCACGTCCACGTCATCAAAGCCGATTGCGACAACCCAGGACGTGGTGCGCACCACCGATGACGGCTTGCTCGTGCCGACAACGGACGAGGGCCTGGTCACGTCCACCTCCAGCACATCGTCATCGTCAACATCAACGGCACCGCCTGTGGCCACCACCGATGTTGGGTTTGAGCACACGACGGAGGAGGACCTGCTGCCAACCACCGCCGATATCACGTCGACCTCAAGCAGCACGTCCACGTCGTTTGTGCCAGACGCAGTCATCTGTGTCAACGACACGGTTCTATACCGGGACGTAGTGCTGGTGCTGGACAGCTCGGCCAGCCTGCACCAGAGCGGATGGGCGGACGTGACGGACTTTGCGTCCGCCTTCCTGGAGGCGTTCCCCTCGGACACGACGCACGCGCGCGTGGCCGTGGTCGTGTTCTCCACCCGCGCATCGCTGGTTGCGGACTTTGATGACTACCTCGGTGATCTGCGTGGCCTCGCGTCTGTTGTGGAGACGCTTCCCTTTGAGAACGGCGCTACAGCCACAGACAGGGCGCTGCGCTTTGTGCGGCAAAACCTCATTTCCTCCGTCGATGCCGGCCGCCGGTCGAATGTGGGGTCGGTTGTGATCACGGTGACGGATGGCGAGCCGAGTGCCTTTCAAGAAGACGTGCAGCAGCGTGTGGATGAGCTGGTGGCAGTTGGCGCGCAGCTGTACGCGGTTGGCGCTGGCGACTTGGTGTCAGACAGCACGCTGAACTTGCTGGGCCCCGACGGCGTGTTTCGCGTGGAGTCCACGCGCTGGCTGTTTGATCTCCTTGCTGACAACGAATTCGACCCGATCCTGTGCGGGGCTGCGGGCCCCTCCACGCTCTCCACCTCCTCACCACTCAAGTCCGTGTCCTCGCTGCCGTTCACGACCGAGGCCATCACGTCGTCGGCCGTCGTGCCGCTGTGCGCCTCGGATCCGAGTGCCGACGTGCTCTATCAGGACGTGGTGCTGGTGCTGGACAGCTCCGCGAGTCTTCTTGAGGAAGGGTGGGCGGCTGTCGCAGAGTTTGGTGCCTTGTTCCTGGAGGCGTTCCCCTCGGACACGACGCACGCGCGCGTGGCCGTGGTCGTGTTCTCCACCCGCGCATCGCTGGTTGCGGACTTTGATGACTACCTCGGTGATCTGCGTGGCCTCGCGTCTGTTGTGGAGACGCTTCCCTTTGAGAACGGCGCTACAGCCACAGACAGGGCGCTCAAGTTTGTGCGGGAGAGGCTCGTGACTGCAACGGGTGTGGGCCGCCGGTCGAATGTGGGGTCGGTTGTGATCACGGTGACGGATGGTGAGCCGAGCGCACTGCAGGAAGACGTGCAGCAGCGTGTGGATGAGCTGGTTGCCGTTGGCGCGCAGCTATATGCAGTTGGTGCCGGCGACCTGGTGTCGGACAGCACGCTGAACTTGCTGGGCCCCGACGGCGTCCACCACGTTGATGATGTGAACCACCTGCAGGATTTGGTGTTCAACAGCGACTTTGACGCGATGCTGTGTGGTGTTGTCGATGTTGGCACGAGCACGACCACCACGACCACCACGATCAGCTCGACATCAACGTCAACATCAACGTCGTCTTCCACTTCCTCTTACACATCAACGTCAACATCAACGTCGTCTTCCACTTCCTCTTACACGTCAACCTCCACCTCGACCTCTTCTTCCACTTCCTCCTACACGTCGACATTCTCGTCCACCTCCTCGTCTTCATCAAGCTCCACCTTCTCCTCCACCTCGTCTTCCACTTCCTCCTCCACATCCTCGACCACGACAACTGACGCGTGGCCAACCAGTGCGCCGTCCACATCGTCATCGTCTTCGACTTCGTCTTCGACGTCATCGTCTGTCTCGACCACAACGACGACAATCACAACCGGTGTACCTGGGTCGACATCGTCGTCTTCATCCACATCATCATCCACATCATCATCCACATCATCGTCGTTGTCGACTGCGACGCAGGGCGACGCACCCTCCACTTCATCATCGTCATCGTCCTCCACTTCGTCGTCGACGTCCTCAACGACTGAAACGCCAAGCTTCCCGTCGACCTCATCTTCGTCATCGTCGTCCACATCATCCACATTCACGCCACCAACCACATCCTCGTCCTCATCCACATCGTCATCGACATCAACGACGCTGTCGACTTCGACATCGTCGTCCACCTCCACTTCCACCAGTGGTGTCATCTCATTCTCTGCCAGCAGCACGTCCACGTCCACATCATCTTCGTCGTCGACATCATCGTCGTCGTCAACCTCTCTCAGCACGTCAACCTCTACCTCCTCTTCGACGTCCACCTCGCAGACCACGTCCACATCATCGTCCACAACATCATCAACCTCCTCATCCACGTCGTCTTCGATCTCATCGTCCACTTCAAGCACAACCTCAAGCTCGACATCAAGTTCGACGAGTACGTCCACATCATCATCTTCGTCTTCTTCGACCACCACGTCGACTTCGACGTCTACAACGTCCTCTTCATCCACATCCACATCCACGTCCACATCCACATCCACATCCACATCGTCTTCGTCTTCGTCTTCGTCTTCCTCCAGCACATCCACGTCCACTTCCACGTCGTCCTCTTCCTCCACCACAACGTCCACATCCACATCATCGTCCTCATCAACATCAACCTCCACGTCATCTTCGTCTTCCTCCAGCACATCCACGTCCACTTCCACGTCGTCCTCTTCTTCCACGACCACATCCACATCCACGTCCACTTCCACATCCACGTCCACATCGACATCTGTCACGACGACAACGCCCGAGGTGCCGTTTGCCTCTGCTGGGCGACAGCTGAGCTTTGAGGCTGCTGATGGTCCGGCTTCAGACTCGTGGCAACTCGACACAAATGCGCGCGTGGTGGATGTGAGTGGCGGCCTGTGCACGCTGGTGCAGTGCAATGCGACAGACAGCACGCTGCTGCCGCCCGGTGATGGCACGGCGGCGCTGCTGTTCAGCGGAGCAGGGCAGGCCCAGCGCAGCGTTCGCGTGGTCTTTGACGGCCGAACGCTGGTGAGTGTGCGGTTTGCGCTTGGCTGGCCACTCGGTGCGCCATTACCAGACTCGCTGTGGGTGACCGTGGCGGTGGTGTCGCACACGAGCACAGCAGGGCCCGTGACGGCCCTGCCTTCCCAGCAACGCATTCGTCCGATGGAGCTGCCACTGCTGCACGAAGGCAGCATGGCTGAGGCTGAGGCGCTGCTTGTGGTGGATGCCCCTGATGGTGCCGGTGTGACCAGTGTCGACCTTGCGCTGACGCTGGCGACCAACGCCACGTCACCCAGCGACAGGCTGCTGTTTGACAATGTCGCGGTGAGCGTGAGTAGCTTCACATACGACACGCTTGTTGATCTGAACGGCCCTGCGCCCGGCTTGGACGCCGAGGCCGCGTACAGGCGAGGCGAGACGCCCTCGTTTGTGTGCCCGTACGCGCGCGTGTTTGACTTGGGCACGGGTCGCCCAACGACGCTGCTGCTGCAGCTGGATGACGGCGCAACGCAGGAACAGGTGCTGTCGGCGTCACGCGTGCCCGGGTCCTCGCTGACGTACTTTGAGGGCGTGCTGCTCATCACAGCAGACTCCACACCGGCATACGCGGGGGCGCTGCGAACGGCAAGCTTCCTCGACACGGACGTGGACGGCACGAATGTGCAGCTGCTGGATGTGGGCGTGAGCCTGACGCCCGTCTCTGCGCCCGCGGCCGTGCACCTGCGCGTGCTGCCCGAGTGCTCGCTGGACCCGGACTGCGTTGTGCCAAACGCGTGTGACGCGAGCCCGTGCGCCAACGGCGGGACGTGCATTGCCAATGCGACAGATCCAACCCTGTTCACGTGCAACTGCACGTCTGCGTTTGAAGGCCCCACCTGTGAGATGCCGCGCGACACGGACTGTGAGGTGTATGCGGATGCGTGCCTGAACGGAGGGACCTGCGTGAACCTTGCTGGCCTCGACAACTACACGTGTGCGTGCCGGCCTGGCTTTGAAGGCGACGACTGCGGCGTGAACATTGACGAGTGCGACACCATGCCGTGCGCCAACGGAGGCACGTGCTACGATGGCGAGAATCGGCGCTATTGCCTCTGCCCGCTCGGGTTTGATGGTGAGAGCTGTGAGCTTGAACTGTGCGAGCCTGTGAACTGCGATGAGGACGGGCAGATTTGCATTCCCGACGACAACGTCGTCACCACAGACCGCGATGGCAACATCATCTTCAACCCAGACATTGACTCCTCGCCCTGCGGAACCTTCAAGTCATGCCAGGTGTGTGTGTGTGTGTGTGTGTGTTCTTTTGTATGTGTGTGTGTTCTTTTGTATGTGTGTGTGTTCTTTTGTATGTGTGTGTTCTTTGCTATGGGTGCTTGTGTATGTGCGTGTGCTGTGCCTTTGCGTGTGCTGTGCGTGCCCACTCTTCCAACTTGCGTGCATGCATGCACACGTTCGCGTATGCGCTCGTCTCATCCCATCGTTTGTGACGTGACTGCGCGTGACTTGAGCAGGAGGGTGTGTGCTGCTTTGCACCGGAGTTTTGCACGCTGAACAGCACGGTGCTGGCGCTGCTGACCAACGAGACCGTCACAGCAGCGGCCGTGCCTGCACCACAAGGCCACGGCGTGTATGACCTGGCGACCGTCGGCGCCGTGTCTACGGTTGACCTTGTGGGCAATGTGGACGGGTACCTGCTGCGACGTCAG